CTTAGGTGTACCTATTTTAGGAAAAGGGGGGAAAAGCCCACATTCTCTCAGGATTGATCACAGAATAACATTGAGTTTCTTAAAAAGAGCATCTTACTAAAATGTAATGATTTTTAATAAAAGGAAACCTCGAGTGCAGAAAATGCTATGGTAACTTCCATGAATGCATATTTGTTAAAAGAGTTTGTTCAACAGACTTCAAGATTGCAGGTGAGTTCCTGTAGTTCACAGGACAGATACTTTAGGTTGTGTAGATTTGTCACTGTTTATTAAGTTGGAAACCAAGAAACTCAGTACTCTGCAAGCCACCAAAAAAAGGTAAACAAAAATACAGATTCCTATGACTCTTGGCACTTTTCATCTCTGCTTGGCTAGAGAACAATTTACGTAGTTGTTATTAGTCTTTACAATTCAGTGCAACATCACAGAGTTGAGTAAATTTCCAGATTGGCTCGCTTTTCTCAAGGCCACTGCAGGTAAAGACTCCTCAAACTGTTTTTGCTAGCACTTAGCAAACAGGTTCTTTTAGTCAGATGTTTGGCAAGATTCTTTCATTCAGTTGTGGTTTCTGTGGAATTTTAAGTGCAATGAAAAATGAAGGACCATTTGTTTGGATGCATGGGGGCATTATATATATATATATATATATATCTTTGCTATTAATAGTCATTGTATTCACTTAAAACAACCCAGGAGTTTTTGTGGGCGGAGCTGCTAGGAAAGAGAAAAAAAGGTCAGAAGGAATTAGTGGAAATGCTCCATTTCACAAAGCAAGGCTCTCCTAGGACAACATCTCAAAGGAACTTCCAGACAAAGGCTGCTGCTGCTCAGGGTTTGTGCAGCCTGAGCCTGAGTTACAAGGGGCAGAGCTGACCTGCTCAAGGGCCCTGGGTGCAGCAGGAACTATAGCCAGAGAAGGAAAAGGAGGATCCGCAATGGGCAACTGCTCAAACGCGCTTTCTGCTCTCCTACAACTTGCCACAATTTTCACAATTTACTAGCCTCATTAGAAGCAGGAAAAATACCTTAACTAGATGCAGGTGGAATAACTCATGCTGCCCTTTGAGACCAGGATACCAAAGACTGAATAAGTCATATCATTAAGAAATGACAGTGCCATGAAATCAAAGTCTGTTAGGAGGGCCCCAGATTCCCAGTTTTGAACTCAGAATGTACTTTTATAAGAAAAGCACAAACAATAGTTAAAATTATTTGCTGCTTGGAGTTGGTTCATAATTCTGAAGTCCTTGGTACAGAAACCTTGATATTTAAATCACGTGAACTAAGTTTTGTGTCACCAAAAGGAAAAAAATAGTGTGATCTTGCTTCTACTACTTACAACTTTAAGCCTTAAGGAAGGTGGAGGGGGGGGGAAGGTTTTCCAAGTGTTGAGAGATGCTGAGAATCAGCATTCCGGGAAGCCATTTGTGGGATCCTAATGTGGCTTTGAAGAGAATGTATCTAGAAGTGTTCTAGAGGTTTCTAGGCCATTCCCGAAGAACTGAAGAATGCTTCCAAAAAAAGGGCTGGTGTGCATGGTGGTTCTGAGAAGACTCAGCCTCAGGTGCAGCAGGTGGAATCATGATCTTTGCTCAACATTCAAGGGAAAGTAAAGGTTTACCGGTAGGTGTTGCACTAAAAACAACGTAACAAGGATCACGCTCCAATGTTGGTGGCACAATGTGAGCCCCTAGGGGCTACCAGACCTTTCTTGTCATTCAAGCCAAGGATTTGGAAGCTTCTTTTCCCATCCATGACCAAGTGGCTACATCTGATTGATCAGCGAGGCCCTGTGGCATGGCAAGCTAATCTTCCTCCTGTGGTGCCAGCATCCTCATGAGCACCAGTTCATGTCCCAGGTGCTCTACTTCCAATCCAGTTTCCTGCTTATGGCCTGGGAAGGCAGCAATGGATGATTCAAATCCTCTGCCCCTTGGGATACCCTGAAGAATCTCCTGGCTCCTGATTTTAGATGGGCTCAGCTCTGGCCATTATGGCCATTCTGGAGAGTGAACAGGCAGATGGAGGAGCTCTCCGTTTCTCCCCCTCTCTGTAACTTTGTCTTTCAAGAAAAAATAAATCTTACCACATACACATATACACACACACAGACAGAGCAAATCTAATTGATCCAGAATTACTCCCTCTTCCCACAAGAGTACAAACGTTATTAATGAGCTAGATTAACCCACAATGTCTCTTCCACGAGAACACCTCTTAACTCTTCTACAAGAAAGTCTCTGAAAGATGGTGAACGTGGGTATTTCTGGAGAGGAATGTGGGGCAAGGTCACGGGTGTGCAGTAAGCCAAAGGAGTTGGCTTCAAAGTCCTTGCAGGGTAGCGATGATTTGGGACACACTGAATTAAAAATCATGAGATTCAGAAGCAATCTTCCAAAAGGAAATGTAAATAATGTGGAGGGGGTGTGTGCGTGAAGGGGAAGAAAGAGAAATTAATTTAATTCCTTTTGCTGATGTGACTGTAGCACGACTATTTTTAGGTATAATCCAAACACTGCATATCTTCTCCATTTTGATTAGTAGAAACTTGGCAGGGAGTCAAAAGAATTAGTGTTTCTCAGCACATTATGCCAGAAAAGTACAAATAAAACTACATTATCTGTGCCAATGTGTTTAATTTGAATCACTGCTAAGGTCTTTATTTTTTTTTTTCTTCAAAAGAGCGAAGGGATCCAGTTTTGTGATTTTTTTTTCTTTTTTACATTTTTCACTGCTGATAGCTAACGTTTTAGATTATTTTTCCTTTAGACCTCTGCTTAAAAAAACTCTAGGTAAAAACTTAAAAGTTAATATTATTATCCTGATACTTTGGGTGCAGAATTTCCTCCTGGCAAAATTGCATTCTGTCAGAGGAAGTCAAGCACATTCAAAGAAATGTGAAATTAAAATAAGCTAGGAAAATGTGCTTGACAAGGGAAGGTTTCACAATAGCCACTTAGAAGTTATTAATAATCCTGGTTCCAAAGAAAGCACACAGAAAAAAAATAAACATTATTTGCAAAGTCAGTTCACACAATGACCACGCTATGGAGTATGCTAATTACACACATTTATACATTCTGGCAACTTTGGATTGATAGCCACTAGAGAATGCAGTATGCTTAGGCATAGCCTAAACAGAAGTTCTGCCACAGCAAAGGGATGGGTCAGGACCACTCACATTTTAGTTCTTCGCTTGAAGATTTATGATTTGGTGCCTTGTTGTACACAAACCCTTGGGTTAGTTTGACTTACTGCAGGCTCATGGTCCTTCTCTTGCCAGCAGGGCACTACCGCACCAAACAGGCAGGGTTGACAGCTTTCTCCTTCAACTCCCATAACTACCGGGACCAGGTACCCAACTCCCCACATTTCCCATTATAAATCAATGCCAGTCTTGTATTTTTAAAAAAAATAAGTAATTTTCATGGGCACTAGAAGTCATTGACCCCATTTACTTCTAAGGCCGTGTACTTTCAAAGAACTCAGGGAATTACCCCAAAATTGTTTCATTGTTTCTTCCCGATGCATGTTAGCTGGTCTTAGGATCACAGCGATTTCCCCTAATTCACCCTAATTCACCCGACTCTGTCTGCCGGAGAGTTAACTTACACATGTTTGTTCTTGACATTTAAAAGGACTTCTATCATTTTAAGAACCGAAGTTTGATGGGACAGATGTACATTTGGGGCTGTGAAGATTTTTTTTTTTTTACATGTAAGTGTGAAAATTTATCTTGACAAAGTGAGCAAATATTCTGGAAACCAAGAGAGTGAATTAGCCTGATCGCCCAGTATTCTTCAGATGAAACTTATGACATGAAGTCTGTTAAAAATCAACATAAAAGTCAGAAGGGACATCCTTAATAACAAGCACCATGGATGGGGCGGGGGTGTGGCGTGAGCACAGGGGTGGGCTACTCTTCTAGGAAAATTGTCACCAATCCCTCCTTCCTCCTGATATTGATTCTATAGCTTTCAAAATATGTTTCTTTCTTGCCCTACCATTTTATTTTATATTACGTTATTTTATTTTGGATTTTTGCTGAAGAAAGAGACGAACCCTCATAGCAGGTGGCATGCAAATTCTGCGCCAGGGATCCCTACGGCACCACAAGGCGCACCTTTCCCCAGGGAGACAGAGCATCTGAATCAGTGCTAACTTTCCCTGCTAGAGAATAGCCTGCTTATGCCGAAGTGCAGCTTGGACTCAAACTCTGCACCTTCTCTGACTTCTTTCCTGTGCAGTCATGACATGCAACGCTTGTTCAGAAATAGGAAGATGCGTCCTTCGGCGGAGAGCCGCCTCCGCGAGGCTGCATAGTGGATCTGATCCACCCACAGCCTCCTTAGGAACTCCTGTCCACTGGGTGTTGCCTTGCTGTTGGAAAGTCAAAACCCTATTTGTCTTTTCTTGTGACCTGCCCACCCAGAAGTCTGCTGGTACGATCTACTTAATGACACAAAAGAAATTACTACCTGAAAAGCCTTGTTCGACTTTTCTGGCTGACAGCGCCAGCAGCTCTCCCTCTGAACAGCTCCTGCAGCCATCTGCACACACTGATTATCCAGGCGCTGCAATCTTCCCTGGCCAATGGCAAAGCAGCCGTGGGAGCCACTTACCGCATCTCAGGAAGGCAGCTCCTGGTCCCGAGGCATGGCTGTTTTCCGCAGTTCTGGGCAACGTGACTGCAGTTACCCTAGCCCAATCACTTTTTTTTTTTTAAAAAAGAAGATACACAAGCCTGAAGTCAACAGCAACAGATGGAGTCTTCAAAGCACCTCCCAGCATTTTAGAATATCTTGAATCTGACTGTGAAAATTTAGGGCAATCTGCAGCTCTCCGTAGGTGAGCGCCTTATTTGGTCTAGAGGCATCTCGCTATGTTATTGAGTCACGAAAAGCTATTAAAAGAGCTCCAAGAGAAAGCCAGTCTCTGGCAGGAGACAAACTCTGTCATTGTCACTGACCCTCTGACAGACACACGGTACATAATCTGGATTGTGCTTCATTGGCATTTATTGCACAGGGACCAATCGCTCACACAGTAGTTAGTTGCACTGGAGTATAAATACTTGGTAAAACACACAGCAGGGAATCACATTTACACACAAGTGCTAAATTTTACCAGCAGATTCACGTGAGCACTTGGACATAAAAAAATAATTAAAAAATCCTTAAGATAATTATATTTATATTATGGATACAGTTACAGTACCATGATAAGAGTATAAAAAGGCAAGTCCCCAATAAATCATTAGTTCAATAATATCATGGACAACAGAAGTAGAATTTGAACTTTATTTGAGTTTTTAAGCTCTTCTCCCTTCCCCATCTCATGAAAAAAATATTGACTTTTTTTTTTTTTTGCGCAGGTAGCATCATCCACGGCCTTAATGATTCCTGACACTGCAAGAAAAAATGGCATTTGAGCCACTTCCTTTTTGTTTGTTTTGTTTTTATCCACGTGTGCAGTCATTAAAATTTCCTCGTTTTTTTTTTTTCTCCTAAAATTCCTTTTTCTGTCCTGTCTTTAATTGACAAGAGTCACATGTCACAGAGAGAGGCTCAGCGCCTGGTCCTTCCCACTAATATTGATACATAAATAAGCTGTTTAATATAAACAAGTCTTTCTATCTGGCTGTGCAATGTGCACAGTGTGAGGTAGACAGCCCTCGGCCTGACCTGCGAGGCGCGCGGGGTGGGGCAGGGCTGTGCCCCAGGAGGAGAGTGCGCCCAAGCGGGGTTCCAAGCGCTGCTTAAAACGTCTTGAAACGTGATTTTTTTTTTCCTTTTTGTGCGTACACCCCTTCCCTTTGCTTTGAGAACAGGAGCAATCAGGGCTCAGGAACTCCTTCAGAGCAAGAGAAGACAGTCCCGACAAACTGCCCTTGCCACTCTCTCTCTGGTTGACTGCCCCTGATTCCTGGACGGCGTGCAAGCCAAGCCCAGAGTTTGTTTTTATATATATTTATCTCCTATCGCTTCTGCCTTCCCCAACCCACTCCATCCCCACTCCAGTCCTCCTCGCAGGTGTCAAACACCATCTCAACATGCATCACACACACACACCTGCGACCCAACCACAAACAGAAATGGCCACTCTCCCACCCGGCGCCAAACTTTCCTTTCTGCGCAACGGTCCTTCCCGAAACTTTTCTGCGTGTTTTGAGTGATTTGGAGGGGCTTGTGGACTTGGAGTTCACCTGCTTCCGGTCTCGAGTAAACACTCATCTCCACTTCTCGCCCGGAGGCCGCCTAGGGCGCTGGGGCTGGGATCTCCTTCTGCTCCACAGGGGCAGGACGCGCGTCCCGGCTGGCGCGGTTGGGCACCCGGGCGCGCACTGGGTCCTACACCTTGGATTCGGAGGCGAAGCCCGGGCGGCACGGCTCGTCCAGGCTGGAGTCGCTGTCCGCCGCCGCAGACCCCACCGCCCCGCCGTTGCAGTCGGCCCAGGGCTCCAGCAGGCGCTCCGGCGGTGTGGCCCCGACGTCCTCATCCTCGTCGTCCGAGGCGGCCCCGGGGGACGGCGGCGGCCCGGGCCGGGCGAAGCAACCGGAGGCGCGCGGCCGGGAGCGAGGGGTCGCGTGGCGCCCGCGGGCCGCCCGGTGCACGCAGCAGAGCAGGCGCTGGAAGGCCTTGCGAAAGTCGGGGCTGCGGCAATAGATAATGGGGTTGAAGGCGGAATTGGCGTAGCCCAGCCAGTTGAAGAAAACGAAGAGGCGATCGGGCACCAGGTCGCGGTGGAAGGCCTTCACCACGTTGGCCAGGAAGAAGGGCAGCCAGCAGAGCGTGAACACGCCCATGATGATGCCCAGGGTCTTGAGCGCCTTCTGCTCGCGGAGGGCCACGAGGCGCGACGGTCGCCGCTTGCTGTTGCGCCCGTTGGCCAGTGCGGCCGCCGCCCCGGGGCTGGGGCTGGAGCCAGAGTCTGGGCGCGGGGGTCCAGGCGCCGGCGCGGGGCCGCTGAGGAAGCGGCGCTCACAGCTGTCGATCTTCTTCACCTGCTTCTGCGCTTCGCGAAACACTCGCAGGTACACGAAGGCCATGACGCACAGGGGCACGTAGAAGGAGACCACGGACGAGGCGATGGCGTAGGCCCGGTTGGTGACGAAGTCGCAGCACTTGGGGTCGTTGTAGCAGCGGCGTGCCTCGTCGCCCTCGGCCCGCCACCAATGCATGAGGATGGGCAGGAAGGACACCAGTGCCGAGATGGCCCACACGGTGCACACGAGGGCCCGCGCCCGAGCGCGTGTCAGCAGGCTCTGGTAGCGGAAGGGCGACGTGATGGCAAGGTAGCGGTCCAGGGCGATGACACACAAGGTCTCGATGCTGGCCGTCACACACAGCACGTCCACCGAAGTCCACAGCTCGCAGAAGAAGGAACCGTACTCCCAGCGCCCCCACACCACGATGGTGGCACCGAACGGCACCACCAGCAGCCCCATGACCAGGTCGGCGCTGGCCAGGGACATGATGAACAGGTTGGTGAGCGTCTGAAGCCGCGGCGTCTTGGCGATGGCCACGATCACCAGCACGTTGCCTGCCACGATGAGCAGCACCACGAGCGCCATCAGCAGGCCCATGCCAGCCGTCCACTGCTGCGACAGCGGCGCGGGGCCCTCGCTGGCCGGGGGCAGCAGGGAGGCGGGTGGCGACGCCGGCACCAGCAGCCTCGCCGCCGTGGCCGCGCCGTCGGGCAGCGGTGAGACGGACGACAGGTTACAGGGCTCCGGGACGCCTAGGGCGAACGCCCCCGCGCCCATGCCGAGCTGTGGAGGCCGGGGGCGGGGGGTGTGGCGGGGCTGGGCCGCGGCGGGGGAATGCCCCCAGAGGCCGGGCCGGCGGGGCGCACGGACGGAGCTTGCGGCCAGGTCAGGGCAGCCGGGGCGCGGGGCCGGAGGCATGGGCGCCGGGCGCCCTCCCCGCAGCCGCCGAGCGCTGTCGCCGTCGCCGCCGCCGCCGCTGCTGGCAGAGCCGCCGGGACCTCAGCATGTTTCTGAGCGCGCGGGGCCCGCGGCTCGGGCACCCAGCACCCAGCCCCCGCTCCCACCTCCCGAGCCGGCCCCCGGGGCCTGGCGTCAGGCTCCTACAGCCAATCGGGGCAAAGGCACGCCCCCCTTTGCTAACCCCCTACACAGACACACACACACACACACACACCCGCACGCCCGCGCGACTCCCCGCACCCCCCACTGGCAATTGAGCGGCTTGAGAGAGTCGGGGCAGATCGCTCGGCCAGCGCTTCCCGGGCGCCTGCCCGGTTCTGCCCAGCACGCCCCTTCCTGCACGCGCCCGTTTCAGCGCCCCGTTCCCCATCCCCGCCCCCCTCCATTGCACCAGGCTCCAAGCTGCGTCCCCACCCCCTCCTGCACCCGTTTGGTTCCCGGAGCTCGGCTCCCTTCTGCGGTCCCACTCTCCACACCCTCGCATCCCCCCTACCTCCGGTGTTCGGGTTCTCTGCAGCACCGGGCGCGGGCTCCCCATAGCGACAGCGAACCTTAGTGTTGTCGCGGCTGCGGCAGGGCGCCCGGGGCAGTATTGTCCGCCAGGGTTGGTGCTTGTGTGTGTAATACCTTTCCTCCGCCAAGGGGCCACCTGGCCAAGCCTGCGCTGCGCCAGCCTGCGGGATCGGAGGTGGGTGTTGGCCATGAGAGGAAGCTGGGCAGTAGGGCGGGTTGCGGGAGTAAAACCGCGCACCTGTCAGGAACGCTCTCGGCACAGGTGCTTGCCAGGAGGCGTTTGTTGTAGAACTTCGGGTGCAAGAGACGCAGAAGGAGGGTGAAGGTTGGTGTGTCTAACACACTCACACACTTCCCAGCCCCGGAGAGCGACGGAGTATGATGCAACCGCGTGTGTCCACAACAGAAAAGGAGAAGCTGGAGAGACACACGGATTAACGCCCACAGCTGAGGCCGCAGCCACGAAGACAAACACGTCTGATTAGGCTTCCCTACCCCCTGGATGTTGTGTTTATCACTGGGCAGTGCTGGTTGCAGACTCGAGGCAATTTGTTGGAGCAATGAACTGGGATTTCAGATTTCTTGGTCTGGGTGGTTTTTTTTTCCCCCCTTTACCCAAGTAGTCCCCACTTTCTTAGTTTCTTGCAAATCTCCGGTTAGTTTTGGAGAGATGGGAGGGGAAAAAAATAATCATGGAGATTAAAATCCCCAAGCATTTAAAGTGGCAGCAGTGGTTTTTGAGTTTGCAAAGGAGTTCATTGGAGTTAGTGAGTTAGCCTACATGTAGGTGGGTTATATGGCTTGGGGGAGGGGGCGATTTGTAGGATGTCCCGGAGCACACAGTGCAGACGGAGGCAAACCCTTTCTAATCTGGGCCTGGTAATGAACTCTGCTCAGACCTGAAAACAAACAAAAACTGCACTAATTAAATCCTTGTGAAGCAAAGAGCTTCTAATCGTCGGTGTAAGGGTGCGTGAGCATGTTAGACAATGATCACTCGTGTTTATTGCATTAGAAGGAAAAGGATGGCATTTGGAAGATGTTTCCACATGCTACCCAAATCGTGGCCCTGCCTTGCAGGAGGGAGACGGTTCCGTGCAGTGATTCCAGGACTGGAGCAGAAAGGCGTGCTTGTCGACCTGTGCACAGTCAAGCGGTTTGGATGCCTTCTGTGCGAATCCAAACGCAGTAATTTGCTTTAGGCCTAGGAGTGATCATCAGAATGTCCTCCGACCCCGGAGGGATTTATTTGTTTATTCACCCCTGCCCTGGACTCAGCCAACTTGTTTTGCCAACTTGGGGAGGTTGAAAGGGGGAGCCATGAAGCAAGAGGAGCTAGCAAGAGGGAGGGGAGGAGTCTGCACCTGTGGCCACTCCGGTCAGCACACATCCTCCCTTGAGTCAGGGAAGAAAGAGGTGGGTGAGGGACCAGTCTTAAAATAGCCAAGGGCTTGGGTTGAGTTGAACTTGATGCTGTCCAGGAATAGCTTCTCAGTCCTGGGCAAGTGGAGGGAAGGTGAGGAAGCGGCTTTCTATCCTGCACCATCTTCTGGGATAGAGTGTAGCTACTTGGAATGTCCTTCCACAGGGGTCCGGCAGTGCACTGCTGGGAGTGAGAAGGCCTGGCCAAGGTGGCAGGGTTTCAGGCAGAAGCCCCAGCTGCCCATGGAGGACTTTCTGTGTGGTTCTGTGTACCCGTGTCCCAAGCGGGCAGGCCCTGCGTGGGACTCCTGACACCCTCTCCTGACTCTCTTCCCTGCAGGTTCAGAGACACCACACGTGGTTCATGACTATGTGATAGCTCTTAAAACAGTCTCATTTTTACACCTAGCAGATGAGGAATGTGTGTTGGGAACTCACTCTTCACTCTTGTTTATAACTTATGGCGCTAACGCCTCACCCCTAACCTAATCAGTATTTTCATATAAACTTGACAAGATACCTTATAAATACAAGACAGGCTCGGGAGAGAAATCAACTGATACCGTTTCCTGTACAGTACTAAATGCAGTGGGGCTGTAAAGTGAGAAGTTTTCCGAGGGAGTGCAGCAGGTGCATAGTCACAGGTTGTTCACAAACGATTAAGGTGAAACCTCTTCCTTTGTGCATGATCCTATCAACCACACGTTCTTTAGCCTTCATTCGTGATGCTATCGATCCAGCCATTTCTGCCCTGGGGGGGGAAGTCCTGACGAGTCGAACCCGCTTTGAAGCTCAGGCTCAAAGGAAAGTTCTGAGGAGCAGAGATTCCTAGGCATGCAACATGCCCACTCACAACCCAGAGCCTGGCGGAACTCCATTCTTGAGCCGACTTTAAGTAAGGGGGTGAACAGCAAAAGTGAGCTGCCCTACTGGCCAGTTGCTGGAAGATGGGCAGAGGAATTTCCAAGGACAAACTCAGGAAGTATGTGTTTGTCAGATTTGTTCTGTAGTGTAATCTGCTTGGGAGCTGATAATGGCCTGAAGCTATTGAAAATCAAGACGGACCAGAGGAAAGCGCAGGTTAATCAGAGCTCAAGTGGCTGTTTCTGAGGAAGGAAAAATAACTTTTCATACAAAGCGACACAGTGGCTAGAACAATCACTTTGTGCTAATCAATCAAAGGACAGCCTTCCCTGAATGGGCCTTTAAGGCCCCTGCTGGTCTTACGGTTACAGTTTCCACAGGGTCAGGCCACTCTGAGTGCTGTGATAAGCAGCTCAGGGAATGGTGGCTTCCTCACAGCCAGGTGTGGACTCTTGACAAATCCAAATGCTCTCCTCTCTACCCCTCTTCCTCTTTTGCCTCCCCTTCCTCCTCCTCCTTGTGCATCGAACAAGTACAATGAACAGTGCTGGAGCCAAAAATAATATTTTTCAAACTTTCGATGTGTTGGAAAGTGCTCAGATCTGGGAGGCCAACGATCCAGCTTTCTGTCCTGGCTCTGTCACCTTTCTGGTTGACCTTGTGTCGTGGCTTCACCTTGCACATGGATTTACCATTCACCCCCTCGCAGGGGTGAATGTGAAGTGAGATCCGTGTGTGAAATCACCCCGACGATTCCGAGCATGGAAAGAGGCAGGATTTGCCTCTGTGGGAAGTACAAGTCCATGCCCTTAGATGAGCTCCTTGCCTTCTTTTTTCTCATGCTGGATGTCGCTGTGACTCAGGCCAGATAACAGGGTATTAAGTTCACTCATCATTGGCAAATCACCTTTCAGGTTCTTCCATGTCCCCCTTTTATGTCTTTCCTTAGTATGTTCCTCTTTCTTTCAAATGTTGTTTCTGAGTCCCTAAAATAAACCCCTTGTACAGTATTTCAGTTACGAACTATTAATAACAGAAAATGAGTGTTTGCTCCCCAAATCTACTGTTTAGTCCCATGACTAGTCATTTAAAAAAAAAAGGTGAAAGCAAAGCAATGTAAGACTTAAGCCAACTTTTAAAATTGTGTTCTTATTTGATTGTGTGAATGAATACCAATAGATGGATCATCCATTGAATCTTTCCTTAATGGACTTATGGCAACAGGAGTATTACCTCAATGAGCGGAGTTGGCTTTCAATTTGCTCAAGTCCAGAGCTGTGGGAAACAAGGAGTTGTGCTAATTACTGAACACCCCAGGATCCACTTTTTAGCAGTCTTACTGTGTTCTAGATGAAAGAATTATGTTGCACAAGTCTGGAGTTTACAGCAAAACGAATCCCCAAGCCCTTGCTGTAAGCTTCCGAAGGGAAGGAATGGTTTGTTTTAAACATTATAATGCTCATTTATTCTGGCCATGTCGTAGGCACTTAATTCCGGTGGAATAAAGGGCCCACTTCAGAGAGCATGTTCCGTAGATTCTCCACAATAAAAGAAGACATTGTGTTTTCCATTCAGCCATAGAAGATGGTGTCTGGGCCATCCAACTGAGCAGAATTGCCAAAAGGAACCAGTGGGAGCAGCTGTGTGTCTGCCTTGCCTCTGAGTGACAGCACAGCTCCTTTGCGGGTTTTGTTTTTTTTTGTTTTTTTTTTCCTTTTCACTCAGTACTTCAAGTAGGTTAAACGTCAGTCTTCTTCCTGCGGTTTTGCACTTTGTAACATATAGAAGCTCTGGTTAGCTTGCTGGTTACTTAGGTGCTGTGAAAATGCAGTCCAGGAAGCAGGGGCATCTGAGAGACGAGTCCGAAGCCAGTACCGCTGCTGCCTTGGATAAGCACTGGGCTCAGGCTTCTTGCTTGGAAAATAAATATCAAACCTTTGACATGACATTTATTTTCCACAGTGTCTCAGCTTCTCTGCTCCTTGAAATTAAACAAACAAAACAGACAAAACAAAAACAATCCTGTTAGAGACCTTTCTCCTGTGATAGCTTCTTATTTCTAGAACATTATCTGTTATTAAATATTAAAGGGTCAATGACCTCTTTTGTAGATTCCTTTGCCTAAAAATGACTTTTACGTGGTTAGAGCAATGCTTTTTTCCCTCTTCCTATTTTAGCATAGAGGAACTGA